TCCCCCTCACCCCTCTTTTCTCTTTCCCGCCCTCGTTTCCCGTCTCTCGTGGTGTTCTCCCACTCATCCACACCAGAACGTGGCGCCCACTATCAGAATGCCGCTCACTCGCCCCACCAGCACCAACAGCCTATCGGACGAGGAGGAGGGGGAAACGCCCCCACACCCCAACATGTCCTCGTGCGTTCCCTCTCTCACCCACACGCCACCTCACCCCACCATGTCGTCCTGCCATTCCATTCTCACCCGCACCCCACCATGTCGTGCATGCACTGCACTCTAATCCAGAACCATCACCGCTGTCTTGTTCAAGGAACAATGCGAGTTTGACTTTTGAGTCGACTCAAAAGTCACTCTGTTCAAGGAACAATGCGAGTTGACTTTTGAGACGACTCAAAAGTCACTCTGTTCAAGGAACAATGCGAGTTGACTTTTGAGTCGACTCAAAAGTCACTCTGTTCAAGGAACAATGCGAGTTGACTTTTGAGTCGACTCAAAAGTCACTCTGTTCAAGGAACAATGCGAGTTGACTTTTGAGACGACTCAAAAGTCACTCTGTTCAAGGAACAATGCGAGTTGACTTTTGAGTCGACTCAAAGTCACTCTGTTCAAGGAACAATGCGAGTTGACTTTTGAGTCGACTCAAAAGTCACTCTGTTCAAGGAACAATGCGAGTTGACTTTTGAGTCGACTCAAAAGTCACTCTGTTCAAGGAACAATGCGAGTTGACTTTTGAGTCGACTCAAAAGTCACTTTGTTCAAGGAACAATGCGAATTTTTCACCTCACCCCTCACGTGCTCAACGCGCAGCACCTGATTTTTTGCCTCACTGCACTACTTATGACAGCAAGTTACCCATTTTCAATAACCTAGCAGAATAGACAGCAGTGAGCCGTTCGACGGGGATGAGATGGTGGGAGAGGACGTCCGTCGTGCAGGTCCGTTCCCTTCCACTTAGCCACCCTCCATTCCATCTCTTCCCATTCTCCCCTCCCCCGCCATTTATCCCCACCAGCTGTCGTGACTCTATGGACAGCAGTGAGCCATTCGACGGGGACGAGATGGGGAGCAGACGACTTGCCAACACCGCAGCGAGTGCTGCTCGACAGACGAGGCTCCATTGGCTTTGGTAGGTGTGCTTAGAAGTGGCTTTATTGGTTGGTAGTAGGAGTGCCTTTCATCTGAGGCCTCAAAACACGACTTGCCAACACCGCAGCGAGTGCTGCTCGACAGACGCTCCATTGACTACGGTAGGTCTGCTTCCCTGTGGTTCCATGCTGCCTGCTGCCACCTTTCCCTTTGCCCTTGCGAATCATCTTCCTACCCCCCAGGCCCCCCATGGGAGCTGGGAGGAATGCTCGAGGCATTGCAGCATTGAATGCTCTTAGAGGAGGCAAGGCAGAGCGGTGCACGCATTGAAGCATGCTTGCCTGCCCCCCGTATGCGTCCGTTGTTTCTTCCTCACACTAGGGCCTCCCATGGAGCTGGCGGCATGCTCTCGAAGCCATGGTGGCGATGCGAAGTGCAGGACAGGGCAGTGCATTGCACACATCTCGAAGCATGCTTGATGCCATGCATGCCTCCCTTTCTGTGTGCTGCACTCTCATCCTCCTTCCCCCCAGGCCCCCCAATGGAGCTGGGCAGCATGCTGGAGGCCATGGTGGCGATGCGCAGTGCATCAACAGCATCAGGGATCGCATCCGACGGCTCCTGGCGCCTCATCAAGCTATCCAACGTGGGTCTATGGGAACTCAGTGTGCAGCCTTACCCGTTCATTCAGCAACCTTTGTATCGCTGGTCTCTCTCTCTCTCTAGGTTTACGCCTCACATGAACACCATGAAGAGCTCGTCAGGGTTCATGTGAGAAGAACCTTCAGGGAACGGGTGTTACGCACATTGATCGCCTTCCACAAGGCAAAGGGCTCTTTGATCGCCTTGCACTTCGCACATTGATTCACTTCACCTCCTGTTGCTGCCTCCGTTTTGCCTCTTATCGCCTGTCCACCTGTCTTTTCCAGGGCTGCGCTTCTTTGAGGAGTTGAACGAGGAGCGCGGGCAGGCGGGCATGTGTGGCAGTCTGCCGTGTCTGAGTGCCGTGGGAACAGTGGACGCTCCCAGTGACCCGTCTTCCGACTCGTGCTCGACCTCTCCTCCTCGCGCAACGAGTACGCCTCTAATTCCTACTTTTCTAAGTTGCAAGTTGCCCCTGCTGATCTCCTGGTAAATTTTGAGTCCGACTCAAATGCTCCCAGCGATGCCGTCGTCTTCTGACTCGTGCTCGACCTCTCCTCCTCCCACAACAACGGCCACACTGACTATATTCCTACCCAATTCCGCCCTCTGCCCGTTGCCCTGTCCCAATCCTTCTTCTCTTGCCGTCTCTCACCAGGCGGGACGTGGCATATGGTGGTGCATGCATGGTAGAGGCACAAGACGGCCACACAGACTGCATTCACTACTGCTTCTGCCTACTACCAGTCATCCCTAGACCTAGCCCACAGACTGCATCCACTCCTGTCCCTCCCCCTTCCTGTGCTTCTCTGTTACCAGGTGGGACGTGGCATACGGGGGTGCACGAATGGTAGAAGCTCAAGACGGTCACACGGACTGCATCCACTACCGCTTCCGACCGCTCCCAGTCGGCTTCGGCCCCTTCACCCTCACAGCGCGCGACGTGTGCCTGCGGCGCTACTGGCAGCGCACAGGCGACGGCTGCTACGTGGTCCTTTACCAATCCATGGAGCACCCCCTATGCCCCCCTGTCATGGGCTGTGTGCGTGCCAATCTCACCTACGGAGGGTTTATCATCGCCCCAGCGGGGCCGTCCGCGATCGGACGGTCGGTAGTGATGCACGTGTTGCAGATGGATGCAAAGGGGTTGCTGCCGATGTGCAGCGGTGTTTGCGACCGAAGTGCATTTCTACCTGCTGTCGAGGGTTGCGGGCATTCGGGAGTTTTTTCGCAGCAGACGAGGGGGATTCACTGGCTGCGCTGCTAGGGTTGAGGGATACCCAGCAGGCTAACAGCTGCTGCTACAGCCGCGGCTGTAGCGGCTGCAGAAGGGAGGGAGCTTGGAGGGGGTGGGGGAGGAAGGGGAGCAGGCGGAGCGGGAGGAGGGCGGATTGGACCAATACCAAAGGGGAGGGGAGGGGTTTGATGAGGTGGAGGGGGTGGGACGAGAGAGGAGGAGAGGCAGCAGTGGGGACGTTATGGGTGGTGAGTTCAGCGGTAGCGATGCCGGGAGCACTGTATCAGAGCCCTTACCCGGCACTAGCAGTTTCTTTGGAGCAAGAGGAGCAGAACAGCAGCAGGAGACGCAGCAGTTGCTGCTAAGGCTCTCCTGACTGAAACTCTCCCTGTGGCCTCTCCTCGGTTTCTGGCAGCTAGGTTCCCGACCCTCCACCGGGTCTCGACTAGCTGGTTCGGCAAGGGCGGCAGGTTCGGTAGACCCATGGGCATGGGCGTACAAGAACCTGGGGAACCGGCCCGGTGGGTCGCCGCCTGGGTCGCCGATGGGGGGATTAACTGCTGGAGCGAGGCGGAGGTTCGGAACTTTACAGTGCGGTCGAAGAGCTATTTTGAGGGATAAGATGAAGCAGAGTGCGGGGCAGCCGGGGATGGCGCTGGTGGCTGTGGATTGGCTGAAGCGCGTTGAGAGGATTGATCATGTGGTGGAGCTCAAGCGCACCCCCGTGCATGTGAGTGTTCTCACTGCAGTGCTTGTTAGTGAGTGTGCGGGCATGCATGCTTTGCGAGTGCGGGGCAGCCAGGGATGGCGCTGGTGGCAGTGGATTGGCTGAAGAGAGTGGAGAGGATTGACCATGTGGTGGAGAGGATTGACCATGTGGTGGAGAGGATTGACCATGTGGTGGAGAGGATTGACCATGTGGTGGAGAGGATTGACCATGTGGTGGAGCTGAAACGGACCCCCGTGCATGTGAGCGTGCTTTCGCTTTTTGTGCATTTTGCGCCTATGGTGGTTCATGGGTGGAAATGGGTCAGCGCTGGTGGCTGTGGATTGGCTGAAGCGCGTGGAGAGGATCGATCATGTGGTGGAGCTTAAAAAGACCCCCATGCATGTGAGTAAATGTAACAACTCAGTCGATAGAGGTCTTGGAAATGGACCAGCACTGGTGGCTGTGGATTGGCTGAAACTCGTGGAGAGGATTGATCATGTGGTGGAGCTCTAGCGGACCCCCGTGCATGTGAGTTTGCTGATTGTGGTGCTTATGAGTGTGTGTGCGCTTTCTTAGTGCGCATGTGGAATCTAGCAACACAGCTGGTAGAGGTTTCGGGGTGGGAGGGTGGGACCAACGATGATTGGTGGCTGTGGATTGATTGAAGCGAGTGGAGAAGATTGATCATGTGGCGAAGCTCAAACGGACTCCTGTGCATGTGACTGAGTCTGCTCCTCCGCTGTCTCTGGTAGCATCTGTGTCATACACAGCCCCATTTTGGCTCATCTCCCCCCATCTCCTTCCATTTTCCCTCCATTTTCCCCCCATTTCTTCCCATTTTCCCACCCCCATCTTCCCCTGTGCCTGGTTATCAGGGAATGCGCGAGCTGATGGCCAGCAGTGACGCCTCGTCGCGGCCATACTTTTTCATTGTGAATATGCAGGTGCGAGGGGGAAGGTGGGGCAGTTGGGTTGTGGGGCAGTGGAGAGGTGGGGCAGTGAGTGAGTCGGTGGGGGAGTGGGGGCGGTGGGGCAGTGGGCCAGCAGTGACGCCTCGTCGCGGCCATACTTTTTCATTGTGAATATGCAGGTGCGTGGGGGGGGGGTAGGTGATTGGATCAATGGGTGTCAGTGGGGCATGGGGGGAGTAGGGAGGTGGGGCAAAGACGATGGCCAGCAGTGCTTGACGCCTCACCGCGGCCGTACTTCTTCATGGCCATGGAGGAATCACCCACATGGCACTCTATCACACCTTAACGCATCACCCATACCATATACCTCACACACCCCTCACAGGCCACCAGGTGCCAGCAGCGCAGCAGTACAGCGTGTTCTACTGGGCCATGGATGAGCGTTGCTGGCAACACCTCCATGGCACTCTCTCCATGCGTCAACATCACCCATATACCCCACCCACATGTCACAAACCGCCACCAGGTGCCAGCAGCGCAGCAGTACAGCATGGTGTTCTATTCGGCCATAGATGAGCGTCAAGGGGGCACTGCTTATTGCGGCCCACTCACATGTTCTGCTTTCCTCCTGAATTCTCATTCTCTCACGTCCCACCAGGTGTTCCATGGTGTTCCACTGGGCCATGGAGGAGCCGCCCACAGAGGCGTGCATGGTCATACTCTCTCAATCCTCAAAACATCACCCGTATACCACCTGTATAACCCACATGCCACAAATGCCACCAGGTGCCGGCAGCGCAGCAGTACAGCATGGTGTTGTACTGGGCCATGGAGGGGCGCTGTGTGGGGACATGTGCTCATTGCTCTGCCTGTCACCCATTCTCTTACATCAATTTCACCCCACCAGGTGCCGGCAGCGCAGCAGTACAGCATGGTGTTGTACTGGGCCATGGAGGGGCGCTGTGTGGGGACATGTGCTCATTGCTCTGCCTGTCACCCATTCTCTTACATCAATTTCACCCCACCAGGTGCCGGCAGCGCAGCAGTACAGCATGGTGTTTCTACTGGGCCATGGAGGAGCCGCCCACAGATTCATCCATGCTAGGGCAGTTCATCAACGGGGACGACATCTTCCGCAACTCACGCTTCAAGCTCATTCCCCGCATCCACCAGGTGGGTGTGAGAGTGCACTGCGCCGTGTGCACTGTTTTGCATCTATGAGGTGTGTGTGTATTTGCCCTACTGCACGGGCATGCGGTCCATGCTGGGGCAGCATCAACGGGGATGACATCTTCCGCAACACACGCTTCAAGCTCATTCCCTCCCCGCATCCACCAGGTGGGTGTGAGTGTATGCTCTGTATGCTCTGTGTGCTCTGTGTGCTCTGTGTGTCCGGTGTGCTCTGCTATACCATCCATGCAGCAGACATGTGCCACTTTAATCTGCCTCGCTTGTGCAATCACCCTCTCATGTCTCCATGTATTGGCCATACTGTAATCTGATGTTTTTTTTTTTTTTTTTTTTTGCCATTGGCGCTGGTACATGGCAGGGCGCATGGGTGGTGAAGAGGAGTGTGGGGACGACACCTCTCATCATTGCTGGTGCTCTCACCGTGCAGTACTTCAAAGGACCCGACTACTTTGAGGTACAGTGCTTTGAGGTACAGTGCTTTGAGGTACAGTGCTTTGAGGTGCAGTGCTTTGAGGTACGGTACTTGGAGGTACAGTGCTTTGAGGTACACTGCTTTGAGGTACAGTAATCTGCAAGTATGTGATGGAAGTTGAATTGTCATGTTGTGGCATTGTTTGTAATGCATGAGCCCTCTTTGAATGCATGAAGTGATGTTTTTTTTGTACTGTTTCCACACTCTCCCTATGACACCACTGGAATGCAGGTGGATGTGGATATTGGGTCATCAGCTGTGGCCAATGGGGTGGTGAGATTCGTGCTAGGATACGTCCGTACACTCATCATCGACATGGCATTCTTAATCCAGGTATTGTACTGGCACTATATATATATATATATATATATATATTATATATTCTAATGTGCTATTGATCCACTGTTTGCATTGTGGTGGTTTGTAAAAAGTTGCTTATGGTGTACACTATTTACGTTACTTGCAGGGAAACACAGACGTTGAGCTCCCGGAGAAGCTTCTAGGAACCATTCGCATTTCACATCTAGAGCCAAACGCAGCGTTAGACATGGACCTTGACAATCCAGAGCCACCCCCTCATCCTGTCTCTCCCCATGAAGATCCTAAATCTTGATTGAATGGTGTTTTTGGCAAAAATTTGCTCTCTCATCAACCGTAAGTTTTTCCGTCCCATTTACCAGCCATCGTGGAATCAAGGATTCATCTGTAGTGCGAAAGCCCATGGGGAGGGGAAGTCCAGGGATTTCATGGCAGCATTTTGGTTATTTGACAGGTATGATGTATGCACACGGCAGCTAAAAAAAACATGTACATGGAGGGAAACGTGTACAATAGTCGTTTCTTATTGTGTGGTTTCTTGAGCAAGACCGTTCTTCAACTTGAAAAACATATGGAGACAAATGATTGGACAGTGACGGCCGTTATAACCGTATACAGACAAAACTTTGGGTCGCCTACATTTGTCGTCTTCGAAGCCTCGAACAATTGCTTATCAAGTAACGGTAGCTGTCGCTTAGCATTGGGGTTCTGATTCCTCCACGTGTAGCAACGTACTGTATTGCACAAATTCTCAGACCAGATCCGCTCGTCGACCACGTCAGCACCAAATTACAGTAGCCCAAGTGCACACAACAGTCGTACAGTGCGCGACACGATACCCAGTCAACACGGTTCGCCTGCTTTCATCTCATCCAATCAAACCTCACGCCCTCGCGTTCACCAATGGTTGCCTGGCGCCCCAGCCCAGACCTTCATTCAAGGGACATGCCATGTCATGTCTCAACACGCAGACCAGCCAGTGACATCACATATTTCTCGTTCCCGCCAAGCCACGCATGGTTATAGTGCCCCCGTCACAGAGTCAAGCACAAAATTCCATAGCGTGTTTGAAACAGAGATTGTCGGCACGGTTTCTTTCTTGAAACATTTTATTGTTGTCGAAGTCGCGACTGAAAAGTGTAGAGTGAACGGTCATTTCACAGAAGTGGTTGCCTTTTCGGCTTCATGAATACGCCCCTGATAGTCTGAAGCGGACAGGTATTCCACAACAGAACCTGGAAATTGCGCGGGAGATTAAAAGTCGAGCAGCAGTGAAAACCGCGTGAATGAATTTGGTAGGAAATGTGCAAGGGGCGTGCACCTTTGGCTGTGACCGGCGTGGCGCCCTGTCGAGGATCCTAGAGTGAGTCAAACTACAGATTTCGAGCCTACTACTATGATCCCCACGCAATGATGACGTTACATTTCGCTGCGACTGCAACTGCGAATAGGGTTACCGTCGGATCCCCGCGGAAGCGCGAGTTCTGGCGAGTACTCGGCGGTGGTAGATCCTCCAGTATAAATTGTTTTCCGGAAACTCAGCGCATATTATTTTTTTACAAGAAAATAACTGCGTTATCGCTGGCAATGCAATGCGTGAACGGTATTTCCCCCAGCAGCAGCAGCAGCAGCAGCAGCAGCAGCAGCAGCAGCAGTCGCTTTCCCCGGCGCAGTTTTCGAGGGGGGCTCCTTCGCAGTCCCAACAATCAGTCAATGCAGTTAACGCGTTCAACGCGGCGAATGCGGCGACAGTAGGGGCAAGAAACGTCACTTCAGGCTCCCTCGGGATGCCTTACGATCAGTTCCGCGACATCCAACGACTATGGGAGTCGCAGGGGTCGCTCAGTGCTGTCGCACAAGGAAGCGCTATCGCACAACAAGGAAGTACTCTCGCACGACAGGATAATTATTTCGCACAAGGCGAAACCGGAACAAACAACACCCCCCAAGGCCAAGCAACAGGGTCCTTCCGCGGATTTATCTCCGCTGATGGCCCTGTTTCCACCGTCCGGAAGCATGGTGGGCGGACGGAGTGGCGGAATGGCGGGGGGAGGCAGTGCTAGCGGAGGATATGGCGGAAGGCAAGGGGGATTCCCCGCGCCTGCGCTGCCTGGCGGAGAATTCGGGACTCCAGGCCTGGGGGGCGGAAGAATCAGGGGGCATGCAGCAACAGGGGGAGGCGGAGGATACGCCGCGGACAGCGCAACGATGATATGCGCGGGGATGGCGGGGGGGAAGGGCTGGAAAGCTTGCTGGCGGGGGCGCTACTCGGGGGAGGGGCTTTTCAGGCGCTAACAGGGGGAGAGGAGGGGGGAAGAGGGATGGGGGGGGGGGGGGGTTGAATAGGTAAACGATTTAAAAACCTGATAATTACATGTGTCCCATCCAACATCATGTGTCCCTCCAACATCATGTGTCCATCCAACATCATGTGTCCCATCCAACATCATGTGTCCCATTCCAACATCATGTGTCCCATCCAACATCATGTGTCCCATCCAACATCATGTGTCCCATCCAACATCAGTCTCATCCTTGCACGCTTACTCTGCTGACTATTTCCGTTCCCTCCCATCCCCTCCCTTACCCCTCGAATCCTTCCCGTGCCCCATCAGACCCACCACGTCACGTCCCCCAGCAGCAGCAGCCTTTCCATTCGAGGCTCGTCAGCGACAGGAAGCGCAGCAGCACACACACAAACAGCAGGAAGCCCAGCAGCACACACACAAACAGCAGGAAGCCCAGCAGCATACACACAAACAGCAGGGAGGGCAGCAGCACACACACAAACAGCAGGGAGGGCAGCAGCACACACACAAACAGCAGGGGAGGGCAGCAGCACACACACAAACAGCAGGGAGGGCAGCAGCACAAGCGGTTCAAGGAGAGACCGCCACACCTGCAGCAACAGCAGCAGCTTCTTCCTCTCACTCTCTTTCCTCCAGCCATCCGCGTTTTGAGACGACTCGACACTCGATCAGTGCAGACACTGCCTCAGCAGCGTCGCCCTTACGCTCGCGTTCTTTCAGCAATGCTCGCCTCTCCTCCTCCCATGTCCCTTTTGAGTCAACTCAAAACGCAGAGACTGCTGCTGCAGCAGCGTCGTCCCTCCGCTCGCATTCTTTCAGCAATACTCGCCTCCCCTCCCAAGTGACTTCTGAGTCGACTCAAAACGCAGAGACTGCCGCAGCAGCAGCAGCATCCTTGCGCTCGCGTTCCTTCGGCAACGCACATCTCTCCTCCTCCCGTGTCCCCAGTTTCGAGGCGCCTCAAAATTCCTCACCCTCAAAATTCCTTACCTCCCATGTCTCTCTCAGAGCTGCTTCGTTCCCCCGCGCTCCCGCTTTCCTCCCGCCCTCCTGGCCCCCCTCGCCTTTTGAGACGTCTCAAAATCCGTCCTCCTGGCCCCTCTCCCGCTCGCTCCCAAACGCTCCCACAGCCAACACTACTGCTTCCGCTGCTGCTGCCGCCGCCACCGCTGCTGTTGCCACTGCTGCCGCTGCTGCCATTGCTGCCACTGTTGCCACTGCAGCCGCTGCTTCAAGCGAAGCTACTCCTGCTGAGGCTAATGTAACAACTGGGGCTGCACCTGCCGTTGCTCTTACAGCGGAGAGGCACAGGGAAGCAAACAACAACACACAGCCACACCATGGCCCCGGTGTGTTTGACTTTGTCCCAAGGAGACAGCACACAGGTGCAAGGGAGGCGATGCTGGGACAGGAGCATGCAGCCCAAGCGTGTCTAGGGCAGATGCAGCCCACAGGGGAGAGGCACAGGGAAACAAACCCACGGCAATTCCAAGGCCCCAGTGTGGTTGACCCAAGGAGACAGCCCACAGGTGCAAGGGAGGCGATGCTGGGGACAGGAGCATGCAGCCCAAGCGTGTCTAGGGCAGATGAGCACGGGGCAGCCATTGGTGGAGCAGGAGCAGATGTGTGTGGGGCAAACATTGACAGCACAGACGAGTGTGGGCGACCAGAGGGATCTAGCAAAGGCTATGGGCGACCAGAGGGATCTAGCAAAGGCTATGGGCGACCAGAGGGATCTAGCAAAGGCTATGGGCGACCAGAGGGATCTAGCAAAGGCTATGGGCGACCAGAGGGAGGTAGCGAGGGCTATGGGCGACCAGAGGGAGGTAGCGAGGGCTATGGGCGACCAGAGGGAGCTAGCGAGGGCTATGGGCGACCAGAGGGAGGTAGCGAGGGCTATGGGCGACCAGAGGGAGCTAGCGAGGGCTATGGGCGACCAGAGGGAGGTAGCGAGGGCTATGGGCGACCAGAGGGAGGTAGCGAGGGCTATGGGCGACCAGAGGGAGGTAGCGAGGGCTATGGGCGACCAGAGGGAGCTAGCGAGGGCTATGGGCGACCAGAGGGAGCTAGCGAGGGCTATGGGCGACCAGAGGGAGCTAGCGAGGGCTATGGGCGACCAGAGGGAGCTAGCGAGGGCCATGCTTCAACTGGACGCACTCTCCTCTGCTGGCCTGCTCATGGGCCTCCCTGCTGCTGCCGCTGCTCACTCTGCTGCTGCTGCTACTTCTTCTACATCTGCTGCTGCTCCGTGCTCGTCTGCCCCCACTCGTGCCCCTCCTGCTTCTCCCTCCACCGTCTCCTCCCCCCGTTCTGCCCCCTCCTCTCGCCCCCCATTCCCTCCCTTTCCTTCCCCAGCACCGCTCTCCACCACATTCCCCCGCTCTTTCTCCACCCCTCAAGGCCGAATCCCTGCTTTCTCCCCCTCTTTGTCATCTCTCACTAATTCTCTCCCAAATACACTCCAGCCTATCAACCCTTTCCCGCACAACCCTTCTCTTCCTCTCCCCACCTCCGCTTCTATCTCTGTTCCCTCTACCTCCTCTGCTGCACCCACCAATCACCCCCTCCCCTGCCTCTCTCGCTTCGCCACAGTGTCAGCTTCCGACCAATCAGCAGCCGGCGGTCTGACCACCCGGGCAGCTGAAATTGCGAGTGGGGTGCAAAATCTTTTCGACGCGCTCATGCGCTCAGACATCCTCCCTGCCCCCTCCGTTCCATCCTTCTCATCTCAACCGTCCATTCCTGATGCTACGCGAAGATCGGCACCGTTGACCCAGCATCCACATCCCCATCTCCCATCCCCATACCATCCTGCCCCAAGTCAACCTCCCGCCTTCTCTACCCTCCCGCTTCCCCTCACATCCTCTTCCCGAGCTCCTTGGGCTGGGGGGAAGAACCCAGGGATGGCAGGAGGGGAGGTAAACGTGTCTAGTGTGTCAACCACAGGGCGTCTAGAGGGCGGTGAGCTGTAGACTGGTAGAAGCAGTGGCACCACCGGATCTGCTGGTAGCGCTGCTGCTGCTGGTGATGCTGCTGCTGCTGCTGCTGCTGCTGCTGCTGCTGCTGCTGCTGCTGCTGCTGCTGCTACTCGTCCTGCTGCCTCTGGTAGTGCTGGCAGTGCACACATCATTGGATCAGGCGGTTTTGTAATCCCTTCTCCACATCTCAACCATCTTCTTGCTCTCCCTTTTCCTCTCGCTACTTCTCCTGCTGCTGTCCCTGCTGGTAATATTGCATCTGCTGCTGTCCCTGCTGGTAATATTGCATCTGCTGCTGTCCCTGCTGGTAATATTGCATCTGCTGCTGTCCCTGCTGGTAATATTGCATCTGCTGCTGTCCCTGCTGGTAATATTGCATCTGCTGCTGTCCCTGCTGGTAATATTGCATCTGCTGCTACTGTTGCTGATGTTGATGGCGGTGGTGGTGGTGGTGGTGCTGCTGCTGCTGCTCCTGCTCCTGCTGCTGCTGCTGCTGCTGCTCGTGCCGCAGATAGAGACAACTGTGATACGCTGCCCAACCCGTCTCAGCTGCCCGATTTTTCTCAACTGCCCAATTTCTCCCAGCTGCCGAAATTCCTGACGCAGGAGCAACTGGCACTACTGAAACAGGTATGCACCATACCCACACCTTCTGCACCATACCCACACCTTCTGCACCATCACCAACCCCGCTGCACCATCACCAACCCCGCTGCACCATCACCGCGCCCTCTGCACCGATTCTGCATTGGTCTCCCTCAATCTACACAACCCCTTTGTTTCCCCCTCCATTGCCCTCTTCCCCAACCCTTCCCCATCCCCCTCCCTCTCGTTCTCTGTCCTTTCGCCAACATGTGACCTTTGCTCCGATCGTGCCCCACTGTCGACTCACCTCCATCCCCATCCCCATCCTCATCCCAGTCCCCATCCCCATCCTCATCTCCATTCCCATCCCCATCCCCATCCTCATCCCCATCCCCATCCTCATCTCCATTCCCATCCCCATCCCCTTCCCCTTCCCCATCCCCATCCCCATCCCCATCCCCATCCCCATCCCCATCCCCATCCCCATCCCCATCCCCATCCCCATCCCCATCCCCATCCCCATGCCCATCCCCATCCTCATCTCCATGCCCATTCAATCATTCTTGTGTGCCCACTCTCTGTCCCCATCCACTGCATGCCCCATCCGATCGCAGTGGCTGGAGGGGGGGTCGCAGCGGGCAAGGCATGCAGAGCCAGGGGGGACTGGAGGCCACTGCTGCTGTGCCTGGTGGCTTGGGGGGCGAGTTTGGATCGACTCAACAGTCAGCCCAGGGCCCTGCAATCGTCACTACACCTGTCACTGCAGCTGTTACAGCACCTGTGGCAAGCACCTACGGCAGCACCTGTTACTCCACTTGTGGCAGCACCTGAGGAAGCACCTGGGGCATCAACCGTGGCAGCACCTGTGGCAGCGCCTGTGGCAACACCGGTGGCAGGACCTGTGGCAGCACCTTCAACAGCACCTGTAGCAGCACCTGTAACAGCACCTATGGTAGCAGCAACTGGAGACTCAATGGACCGTTCCAAGGGCCCTCAAGGTGCACGAGGGAAGGGCGACGAGGTCTTTCGGATTCCACAAGACCGGCCGGCGATGACCTTCGAGTCAACTCGAAAGTCAACTGGAGAGTCAGGGGACTGTTCCCAGGGCCCTCAAGGTACAAGAGGGAAGGACGACGAGGGCTTTCGGGTTCCCCGAGACCGACCGTCGATTCCTGGCCGAAAGACAAGAGCTGAGGCAGCCACTGACAAAGTGCATGCCATTCCCTCTGCTGACAGGGGTGTGGGAATTGGTGGAAAGTACGAGGAAGGAGAAGAAATGGTTGGAGGGAGGGTGGAGGGTATTGTTGTGAGAAACAGCGAGAATGAGAGACAGGGTGCTGCCGGTGATGAGGTTCGAAGGGAGGAAGAGGTTCCAAGGGAGAAAGTGGGTCAACAGGAGGACGATATGCGGGGCAGTGATGTACAGGGAACAGTTTGAGGAAGAACAGTCACCAACCGCAAGAGGAGCAGAAGCAGGGTCGGCAGCACCAGCAGCAGCAGCAGCAGCAGCAGCACCACCAACATCAGCAGCAGGAGCAGCGGCGGGAGAACCGACAGCAAGAGAACCCGCATCAGGAGAACCAGCAGCAGCAGGAGCAGCAGCAGCAGGGCCAACGGGAGGAGCAAGGGGAATCAGCAGCAACAGGAATGGATGTTGATGGTACAGTCAAGGAGGGTGGGCACGGAGGGGACGAGGAGCAAGAGACGACTTTTGAGGCGCCTCAAAAGCAAGGAGTGGGGGAGCAAGGAAGGGGCAAGGAGGGGGGTGGTAGGGAAGACAGTGGGGACAGGCAGGGGGATAGGAATCCTGTTGTTCGCCGAAGCTGCAGTGATGGTGGTGGCAGGCTTGGTTCGGAAACTGGTTTGGATAGGCGGTCCCCTCGCCCGGAGCAGCTACAGGTGGTTCGGCGGTGGAATACCGGGAGGCTCGGCAGCTGGTCGGAAAGGAGCAGCTTGAGCAGTGGACAATCTGGACCGTTGATCTCGAAGAAGCGGCCGATCACAAGCGTTGATCCCAGCACCCCTAGTCCCAGCCCACAGCATCAAAGGGAGCAGAACCAGCAGAGCCAGCAGCCACCACAACTGCAGCTGTCACAGCAACAGCCCCACTGGCAGCAGCCGCAGCAGCAATGTGAACAACAGCAGCAGCAGCAGCAGCTGCCACACCAGCAGCAGAAGCAGGGGGAAGAAGTCCAACAAAAGGACAACCAAGACCGCCCGCCGCCACGACCCATGCGCACCCGTCCCATGCTCAAGCGGAGCATGGCGGGACCCCTACCAGGCGCGCCTATAGCCGTCATAGACGGCACAATCCAGCTTGTCGGCGATCTCTCCCTCCTCGGCGGTGGCGGCTCCTTCCCCCCTCCTCCCTCCGCCCACTCTTCCCCTCACCCCCTCTCCACGTCTGCTCCCTTCCCCACCCGCGGCAACACCGCCCCCCTGTCTTCAAATCCCCTTGTGCTCGCCGTGTCTCCACACCCCAGCCCATCTCCTGGCGTGGCGGCCCGGCCTTGGGGGATGAAATCCCCTCTGCCAGGTGAATCGCAGAAAACAGATGCGGTACACGTCTCCGTCTCCCCGTGCTGCTGCTGCCCAGCCTTGGGGTTTGAAGTCGCCACTACCACGTGAGCCACAGAAAACGGCGCCAGTATTTAAAGCGCCTCAGGAGCCTCAAGCAGCAGCGCTTCCATCGGGTGCTGAGGCACAGAAATCGAGTGCAGGTCTGGTCAAACCAGGTGTAGCAGGCGTGGACAGGCCCGCAGTGGAAGCAGCAGCAGCGGCTGCAGCTGCAGGTCTGGATCGGCCGAGACTCGATGTGACGGTGGAAGGTGGTGGCGCAGTGCTGGGAGCAAGTGAAGCACCATCGCGTGCTGCTTCTTATGGAGAGCCAGGTGTAGCAGCAGTGGCAGCACCAGAACTGGGAACGGCAGCAGCACCAGCAGCGCCAGCACTAGCTGCGCCAGCAGCAATAGATTCACCTGGATACCAGGCTAGCCCAGCCAACCCAGCCAGTTTTGAGACGTCTCAAAGGTCGCCAGCAGCAATAGATCCACCTGTATACCAGGCCGGCGCAGCCAACCCAGCCAGTCCTGCTAAGCGAATTCTGAAACACAGCCATTCAGCCCGGCTCCCTCCTCCGGACCGCCCGCGCCTCTCCCCTGCCCTCCGGAGCTCTAGCTTCGGGAGCCGAGGCTCGGCGTCAGGCTCGGGACAGTTTGCGGCTGATTCGACCGAAGGTGAAGCAGCCTCAGGAATGGAGGATACGGTGTTTGAGAGGAGGGATGTCGGGACTCAGGTGAATCCTTTAGAGGGGTCGAGTGGGGGAGAGGGAATGGATAGTGTGTGGTCGGGGAAGTTGGTCCAGGAGTGGAGTGGAAGACGAGGGGGGCAGCATCTTGCCAGCGTGACTGAAGGCATTGCGAGTCAAGCCGATATGAGAGAGAGACACGCTACTGGCAGTGAGGCCAGAGCTGGTGAGTTGAGAGATGGTGGGAAGGAAGATGGTGGGAAGGCTGATGGTGGGGATGCTGCAGCGTGCAGAGAGGAGGAGGATGCTGGTGCTGCGACTTCTGAGTCCATTCCACAAGCAGGAGGCAGCATGGAGTTCAATGGTGCTGCGACTGGTGCAGCTACTGGTGCAGCTACTGGTGCTGCACACACTGCGATCTCTTAGGGAGGACGAGCGGATGGGTCGGCAAGGGCACCAGCAGGATTACGAGCAGCATAACAGGCATGGGCAGCAGAATAACGATTATACTCATGTGCAGGCAGCAACAGCAGCAGTTGGGAGAGCAGCAGCTGGAAGATGCAGAGGAGGGAAAATGAGGAAGGGAGGAACATGAGGATGAGGAGGAGGAGGAGGAGGAGGGGGGAGGGGGAGGGGGGTGGGGGAGGGGGAGGGGGGGGGAGGGGGAGGGGGGAGGGGTAGGGGGAGGGGGAGGGGGAG